GGTATGTGACCAAGCAGATCCCTGAAGAGGTAAACGAAGCATTCGCCAATCCCCAGCACATGGTGAACATCAGGGAACACATTTATCCTCTATTACTAACGGTTCCCACAGCAGTGAGAGCACAGGCTCCACAAATGAGGCATTTTCTCAGGGCAGAAGGAAAAAATACAACTTACAGGACACAAATCACAAAAATAAATTATGCACAGGCTATATAAAAGTTTAAGTTGTTCCCCAATGAATAAGACAGTCAATAGTCACAAGTGTAGCCAAACTACAGCATTCAGTTTTAAAGGAATTCTAATTTGTCTTACCTCTGTCAAAATTATACTGCTGGGAAATTATTTCTCCCCAGTATTTAGCACATTCTGCAGACAGCTTCTTTGGTTTGTCTAGACGACGAATTGCTAAAGCTTGGATGTGTTTTTGGAAGGCCTCTTCTGTCATATCTTCTATGCATTTCTCCATAGTTTTTAAGAATGCTTCAACTCTGCTTTCTAAATAGTGTGGTGGCTTTTCAGATTGGATAATAAATCGCAGTCCTTGTATGCCATTTGCCCGACGTGGACCACTGAACACAATGTAACCTTGGCAAAACAAGAGTAGCAACAAATCAAAAGAAATACCTTGTTCTAACATTAAGTTTTCCAAACATGGCATGTTTGACAGGAATGTGATTTTATGCTAAGTTTGATTCGGTATTATAAATTAAATAATGCAGGTTTTCAAAATATGCCCCTGTAATTTTTTAAAACATTTTTTATTTTATCGAGGTAAACATCAGTTAAGGGGAGAGGCGAGGAGGAGATGAGGGAGACCAAGACAGAACAAAAGAAATTCTGTCATCTGATGACAGAAATTAAGCTGTACTCTAGTGCTTCATTAGACTCAACATTAGGAACTTCTAATTATTTTTTCATAACATTTATTTTGAATTCTCTTTGCTGCAATGTAAGACCAAAGTTTCTCATTTTATCAGTTAGATACAAAGAAAACATCATTCTCTTCCTTTTTGTTGCAGTTTTGCTTGCTGAACATCTGAGGTTTCTTTTCATTCTTCCCCTCTTTTAATAACAAATCTGTTACATCTGTTTTATATGTTGTTTTGTAGCTCTCCAATTGTTCCTTGATACTCATGTCAAAAGTGGACACAGTATTTCAAAGTCCTTACTTGAACACTATAGGACTATTATTGTGCATGCATCTTGGAAGCTCCCACGTATATAACCCAGCATTTAACACAGCAGCATGACACTGCTGATTTATGTTCTACTTCTGATCCACAGAAACCTGTAGACCATTTTCTATATAACTGCTACCTAGCCAGTTGCTTCCTAGCTTGTATCTGTGCCACTGATTATTCCTGCCAAACTGTTCCTACCAAACTGCGTCTTATCTTCATTCAAGTCACGTTTCCAAGATGTCAAGACTAATTTTGAATTCTAATTCTATCTTCCCACACACTTGCAGCCTCTCCCAGCTCAGTATTATCTCAAGATTTAGTAAGTATATTCGCTCTTCTTTCTCCAGAGTTTTGATGAAAATACTAAATGATAGCACTGGATCACAATAGAGCTCTGTAGAACACCATTTTTCTAATGAACTATTCTTCTCTATTCTCAAGCCATGACTTTCCAAACAGTCTTGCACCCAAATGCACTTCCACCCAGGCACTCTCTCCAGAGTGTTTTGAGAATGTCCCATGCCTTTCGTGCTATCAAGAAGAGACATACGACATCACCACTTCCAGCCATACAGCCAAACTCTGTTTGTATTAAAAAAAGTTAGGTTTGTTTGACCCAAGTTTGTCCAGTAATAGCCTCTCAGTCACCTTCTATGAGTTTAGAACTGGTTTCATAATTTATTCTCTATTTTCCAGGAATGAGAATTAAGCTGACTGATCTGTAATTTCCCTGCTCTTCTTTTTCCTTTTTTTAAGGAAACATACCATTTGCCCACGTTTATTTTTCCAATACTTCATCTAACATCCACAAAATCTCAGTTGTAAGCCTTTTAATTCCAGATTTCATAATTATTATTTTTGCTTAATGTAATATAGAGCTCATCATGCCTGAACTCTTTAAAAGCTTCTAATTTACCAGAACAATCTTTAATCTGTTATTTTCCTGTTCAGCAGTAAACCTTGGACTTTGATCACCAGTATTTATTTTGGAAATCATCTGGTTACAGCTGCCATTTTAAGTGAAAACTAACAAAGCCATCCTCAAACAGAAGCCATCCTCAAACAGTTTGGCTTCACCCCCCCCAAGCCCCCCATTGACAACTTTTGTCTTTCTCTTTCTCATACAACTAAAGCATTTATTGAATGAGTTCTTGTTACTACTTCTACTGCTTAGCAAACTGCTAACTCCTCAAAAACTTCTTTTTCCCTTAGCTTTCTCAAAGATCTTATTAAGAATTCCATTAACTTTACTGAATTTTGCTGATATTTCTACTGTCTTCCCTCTTATGTCTTGTGAACTCTACCACTCGGCAGTTATGCAGTGCTGGACTCACGCAGTTCTTCCTCAATGGTTCACCTCCCCACCCCCCCTTTAGCTTTTACCTCCTCTGTTATCTCCAACTTCTATACAAAACCTGCCACCAGCACCTTCCAAAAACCTGCTAAATAACCTGAGTCCCACCCTATTTTCAGCAGATACCTAGATAGTTAAAATCACTATGATGAACACGGTATGGCTGATTCTGCTAGTTGCTCACAAAAAGTCTAATCTTGCCCGATATCCCTGGTAGTTCATAGTCATCACACTGAGACATTTGTCTGCCTCTCACCTTTGGAAAAACTGTACTTCTCCTCATCAGTATTTCAATCATGCAAACTGTCATGCAAAGTCTCTGTCTCTCCTTGTTATTCTGTTTGGTATAACCTTAGCAGTTCTCAGTCTTACTGGTTCAGTTCACAGTTATTTGTACTTATTGGTGAACAGCTGTATTCTTAAAAAGCCTGAAATGTATTTAGGTCTTCACCAACATGGCAGCTTACCATTGCCCATACAGCAGTATTCCTAAAATAGGGCTTATGAATCATCAAATGCACCTGGAAGTAGGATGACAAGCAGAAAAGACCAAACTACCGCTGATTTGTAATCTCCTTTTGGTAAAAATTCTAGATATGAAATTTTCTGTACAAACTTTCTTTTAAGCCAGAGCTGGTTTCAGATATTTCAGTCAATTTAGAGTTTGTGCACAGTAACATTCCTGTGAGTCATCATCAGTTAAAATGATTTACATTTACTAAGTGCCTTTTAAATGGCATTCACTAAGCAGGAAAAGAACAGCTCATCAAGTCTCGTGTAAGTGTGTGAGTACGTGTGCATATGTGTACACAGACACATAACCACTATGGGAAAACTTACCTAACTGTTCCTTGGTGCGCAGAGTATTGAAGCATGGTTCTGAGATAATTTGACAAAAGAGCTCCAAAAACATATTTTCAGAAGTGCTCTGCATGTCTGTCTGGTAATATATTTCAATGCCACAATTGTTATGAACTTCATTTCTCTGTTGATATACAAACCACCCTCCTAAAAGACAAAGTTAAAACATTTAAAGTTCATAAAAATGTAAATTCTTATTGTCCACAATTTAAAAGATAATGGTCTATCACTTGTGGAATGGAACCATAATAAAAGGTTTTGGATTGTTAAAGGAGAATTTCCACTAACAGTGTACCTTTTATGAAATAAGTAAAGAAAAGATGATTTTAACACATTGAAGTATCATAGCTTGACCGCACAGCAAGTAAATTGAAACTGGCTGCTTCTCCTCAAGCAAATATATTTGGAACTGGAGTGGAATTCTGCATTGCCTCTATTGTGTAAATAGGTTCTAAAGACAGTTTGTCAGAAACGTTTATGAACATGAAAAATAATTCACTATTTAATACCATTAGCTTCTTTGGTATATGGTAGTTTCCATAGGCTGATGAGCAGCTATGAGTAATTAGCTTTGGCTGTATAGCTACGTAGATCATCACTCTTGTGATGTGACTCCAAGAAATTCCTTGTACCTCCTTTCTTATATATAAGACTCTTTTTTTCACAATAGAAGTAAAATCATATACAAACACTATGAGACCAAAAGAATTTATACTAGAAAAGAACAAAGTTACTTGTGTAAGAGCTTTTAGTTTGCTCAAGAAACAAGAGTTGTTTAGGACAATCCTTCACTGAATGGTCAATTAATACTCAAAAGTGCTCAAAGAATGGTGCTTATTCAATTGTGTATACTATGCGTAGCAGAGTGGGACAGGGCTCTTATTTCCATAAATCATACTGAGTGAATTAGGATTGAATCACAGAATCAGAGTCATAGGACGGTTTGGGTTGGAAGGGACCTGAAAGATCATCTAGTTCCAGCCCCCAAAAAGTCCAATTTATATACACAGATTAAAACTGAAATAAAATTCATTTTCAAATATACCAGAAATAGGATATATTAGTGTATAACTTTATTAACAAAAACCACACCCTAATTATATTTTTAAATTTAAAGTTTAAAATAATTTTAAGTAAGTCTGATTTTGAAACAAACTCCTAGCAATAGAGTAATATTCATTTTAAAATGCCATTAGCTAACAGAGGATCTCAGTTTAATGTGTGTTAAAAATGGTAAATAAATCATTTAACTTACTGTCAGGAAGTTGCACTTCTCTGTATCTCACTAGCTGACTGGGAAGGAGTGGCTTTGTGTGAGCGTGCTCAATGAGAGTGTCCTCAACCATCTGCATAATTCCTAATGCAGCCTGGAAGAGAAAACATAAGAGGATTTTTAACTATCGTTAGTTATTCTCTACCTAACAGCAGGGTAAAACTTTCCAATTATTGACGATGGCATGAGAGAAAATAAAAAAAAAAATCAGGAATAGAAAGTAGGGATATTTTAATTTAATAAATATACAGTATTCTTAAAAAGCCTGAAATGTATTTAAGTCTTCTACAAGTTAAGCAGATGAGAGGAAGCAGGGGCTTGGCAGGGGCAAGAGTTTTATGGGCTTTTTTTTTTTTACATTTATCTTGTCTACATGTTTAACTACTTCTACTCCTCCCCAACACTTCTGAAATTACAGTTCATTGGGCTTTTTTTTCTTTTCCTTTCACCACTTTGATGTACCTGCCTTTCAGAGTCTGAAAACAAGATACCTATGAGGAATGTTTGCAAAGCAAACAACTTCTCAGCAGATGGAATTTTAAGAAAATAAATTACTGGTTAGGTTCAAACATGCATTCCATTGATGTGCTGGTAGTATTAGGACTCACTGTCCAGATACTTTATTTTATTTGATGGATTAAAATAATAATAATAATTTAAAAATCACAAATAGTGAAATTTTTTTTAAAAATCATTAGTTTCATTCAAGGATTTAAAAATCCTTCAAAAGATTTACCTGTTACAGGTTATGGGTTCTTGTAGCTTGTGTGCTGAAAATTACAGTAACTTGCTACAAAGTAGTTTTGGCTGAAAGCCAAAATCTCTTAGTCTGTGCTGCCATGAACTTGCAACACAAATGATCTTATCTAAAACATGCAAAAGGTCTGAAAACTTAAAAAACACATTCTCTTTCCTCAACACCCCCCCAAAACGCAACCCAGTATCAAAGACAAAAATATTGAGGTATAACAAAACACTTTTTGAAAGGTTTGAGAAAAATACTATATATTCTTCCAATCAAGTCATCATATTAAAACAAAATATTTACAACAAGACTATTCAGACAGATGTTTTGAATAGTATTAGTCTACTATTCATCCACTTGTGGCAAATAAATAAAAGGAACAGTAAAAAAAAAAAATTATCAAAATGAAATTAATTCAAGAATAATGGGTATTTTAAGCAACTAGATAGGTCTAATTTTTCAAGAAGTACAGATTTACTAAAATATTTTTCAGTATTGAAAGGTGTCACAAGAGTACATCAATTTTGATTCAATTTTAGCTGGAAAAATTCCTTAGGTCTACGTTAAAACTTCTGAGCTTTTTCAGTGATAATCACATCATGGGCACTGAAGGACATAAAAGTTTTCATACTCATATCTATTCAGGGAGCTTTGCAGATAATTTTGAAACATTACACAGCTATGGGCATAACAGTACATCCTTCCAAGTTCTCTAGCTCTACAATTCTCCAATAGCCACCCATCTATACCACCTACAGAACATGTTTCTCTGCTATGACTGCATCACCATGGAAATCTAAAAAAATCTGGTCATTCAGTTTCATTTCAGAAAGAACTGGCTTTCATGTACAAAGTGTAAGGAATAAGGAAGAAAAAAAAAAAATTAGACTATTTTTTACATTTCTCCACATGAAAAATACTCTCTCTCTCTCTCAAAAAAAAAAAAAAAAAAAAAAAAAAAGAGACATCCTTTAAAGAGAAAACGTTGTGCATCCAGCGCCATTGGTTCCTTCATCTTTTTATTTTTCCTGTCCTTACCGGTTAACTTTCTTCTCCATGCATTTAGCAGTCACTAGCAGTGTTTATAGTATCTCCTGCTAGTAAAGCATCACAGACCTGGTATAACACAGAAATACTGCTATACCACACCCACAAAAAAAGAACACAAAAATGTACAAAAGTACTATATTTCGTATTGGTACCTACATACGAATATTTGGTTATATTTCCTATGCAAATATAAACCGTTACTATTTTAATGTAAGATAGAACAAACATTTTTTGATTTTCACTCCCCAAAAAGACACAGCTGAGAACTGACTCTTATTTTTATGGCCCACCATTCCTGTTTAGCTTTGTACGAAGTACTTCATTTGAATGGATCTTGGATTCTTAAATCTTTGTCAGTTACCCTGAAACTTTTAAATGGAAAAGAAGGATCTGCAGCACATCACTGCAGCTTGATCCCATCACAGCAATGACAACATGAGACTTTAAAATATTTAGATCCTAAGTTGTTTTTTATTAAATTTCCAAGAGCAATACAAGGGCAGCACTTTGCCTATTAAATCTGAAGTGGAAAAAATGACACTCCCATACAGATAAAAAAACCACAAAGTCAAATTATGAAATCACGTTTGGCAAAACTGCCTTAAGATCTGGGAAGATTAAACTAATCTTCCATTTTTTTATGCTGCTTTTAAATAAAAGCTGTTTTACTAAAGAAAGTATCACACCAACCTGTTTTGTTATATTGCCATGGAGAAGAGCTTCAATATGTAACCGTGACAACAGCTGAGCTATAAAGGCCTTGAGGCGGGGAAGAGTGACATCTAGAATAGATATTTAGACAGTTAAATCAATTACATGCATTTTTACGTTAAGAAGTACCTAACTCATCATTAGATATGGTGCACTTCTTAGAGGAGGAGAAACTCACCATAATGAAAAAGTGAATCTCTCCTTAGAAATGTAACACTGGAAAGTTTCCAGGTCTAAATAGCAGCACTTATCATATAGTTTGTTTCACTTAGAATTCACATACTGTTTGACCCAGATTACAAAAGCCAAATAGAATTTTTAAAAAGCCTTATTGCCAATGACTCTGAACAAACATTCATTCTCCAGAGAAAACAGTTGCAATCATTCAGGTGGTGTTCCAAGATAAAGCCTTAGTTATTAACTAAACAAGCAGCATGTAGTTTACAACGCTTGAGAAACACCCTGTGCATTTGCCATCTAGACTAAAAAAAGAACCTCAACTCAAATATGGTGTTTTGATAGTATCTTCATAACAAACAATACACAAGAAAAATATTTTTGCAATATATCCCAGAATACACATACACACACATCCTATGCTAGCCTGTCTTTGCAGTTTTCATATATAATGCAAAGTATAGTTTAACATAGAGAATTAATGGAATAAGAGAGGAAGGATGGTTGAATGGATGGGGTGTCCATTCCAAAGTCAGTATCTCCATTCTTAATTCCCGGTTACTACAAGAATACCCACACTACATCACCAAGTCTACTAATTTCTCATTTTGTCATTTTCTCAACTAAAATAAAGACTAAGAATACTTGTGTATTTCACTAAAGTTTTGAAAAGACAAAGGCAATGAAGATTATGAGGTCACTCAGTTATTCAGTGGGGGATGCATACATATCTAACAGATTTTGTAATTTGTATTAGAAAAACCTATACTGTGTTTTTCAGTCCTTCCCTCTCTTAAAAGAGGTAACTGACCACCAGTAAAAAATTCATTTTCACATTTTTCCTTGATTCCAAATCAATTTTTTATTGCTGTATAACCCTAATTTTAATTTTTGCTTCTAGAATTGCTTATTAACAGTGCAACAGATTACAGTCACATCCAGTGTGAGAGAGGAAAAGAGAAAAAAAATAAAATCACACAAAATCCTTGTTTTTCAAGCAGATTTCCAGTGGTGCTAAGTAGACAGCATCCCTTTCCAGCATTCCATATTTAGCCACTCTCATGCTGAATACAGTAGCATTATTCTAATAAAGACAACTTCCACACAGAAGTGAAAATATCTTTTTTCTTTTTTTTCCAAAATTCAGTAGTCATTAAAAAAGGAATGACCTACATATAGCTGAACTCACTGCCATAAAATTCAGCATTGGTTTTGTCATTGACTTCTGGGCCCCTCATTACAAGAAAGACATTGAGTGGGTGTTTTTTGGTAGTGGGGGAAGGGACCACCTTGTGATAAGCTTCAAAGCTCCCTTTGCTCCAAGGCGGAGAGGCCCCAGCCCAGGCTTGGCCAATGAGCACCAGAGAAACACCTCTGCGAATCCATATTTGTGAGGGGAAGGACTGTTTTGAAAAGAAGAACGTGGGGGTCTTCTTTATCTTCTTGGATAAATGGCAACGAATTAAATTCATTTTTCTTCCCCAAGTTGAGTCTGTTTTGCCCGTGAACATAACTGGTGAGTGAGCTGTCCCTGTCCTTCATTCCTAATCCTGTGTCCCTTTTGTTGTGTCTCCCATCCCATCTCAGCGGGTTGGGGGAAGGGAGTGCAGGACTGCACGGTCCTACTGCGGGTCAAACCACCACACCTTATGAGGAGCAGCTGAGGGAACTGGGGTTTGTTAAGTCTAGAGAAAAGGAGGCTTAGGAGAGACTTTATCACTGTCTACGGCTACCTGAAAGGAGGGTGTAACAAGGTGGGTGTGTATCTTTTCTCCCAGGTAACTAGTGACAGAACAAGAGGAAATGGCCTTAAGTTGTACCAGGGGAGGTACAGATTGGATGTCAGGAAAAATTTCTTCACTGAAAGGGTTCTCAGGCAATGGAATGGAGCGCGCAGGGAGGGGGTTGAGTCACCATCCCTGGAGGTATTTAAAAGACAGCTAGATGGGGTGCTCGGAGATGTGGTTTAGTAAATGGATAGGTACGGTTGGACTCGATGATCTCAAAGGTCTTTTCCAACCAGGCGATTCTATGATTCACAGGCAGCACTGGCACCACTGCTCATTTCAGAGACACCTGCAATCATTCAAGAAACTATACAACTGAACATTTGTGTTTCTATCCCAGAGCAATCCTGTAGAAAAAACCACAGACCCCTGTGCAGCTGGCTCTGGGCATATAGAGAGTCTATCTTAATTTTCAGCATCACAACTTCAAACAGTATGGTATGTGTCCGTCTCTGACAACTATGGGTATGTATTCTGAACCCACCCCCTCAAATAAATTCAAAAGCCAGATATTCTTATTGAGGAGCGTCTCTATGTATTCAAAGAAGATATTACAAGATAGTTTTGCAAACTGTCCTAGTAACAGCCTTTTGTTGTAACACAGTAATATACAGGTAGGGGAGAGTTCTTCAGCTATTATTAAAGTCAATTAAGTATTGTAACTTGAAATTTCTTCTATCTCCAAATATAGTGGAGTGTCTGCTCTTTGTTAAGAACCACAATGTTCTTTATTCTTTATTATCATTATAATCTACATAAATTATAGCTTTTTTCTTTACTATCTACAGTTCTTTATTATCTACAGAAACAGGAGTTAGGATTCCCTGATAACGGAAAAAACAAAATAGTAGGCACATTGGAAAGTACAATGCAGATACATTCCAGCAGACCTGCAAGATGTCAACTAGAGCCAAATGATCTTAGCAGTATTGGCTAAGCATTGGATTCACCATACCCAGGCTCATGCCCACAAAGACGTTCAAGTTTTGCCTGAACTTTTACCTGTAAGTTTTGCCACTTGAGGCCTTTTGTCTGAACTATTATACTTTCTAGAAATTGGCAAACAAGTGCAGAAGCATCGACGTCCACCAGCATCAGCTCAGGTCTGGCACTGCAGGGGCTTCACTTGAGTAACGGGCAGAGTTCAAAACAGTACCCTTCATTAGTTTAGTAACAAGACATTTTCCGTAAGAAAAAATAAAAATAATAACGTTTAAAACTGGCAGAACATTACCATCGAGAGCTTCTTTTAATTCATCTTTGGTCCAAGCAACTTCTGTCATCAGGAGTCGGAGATAATACATTGCATGCTGGTGAGGCTGTTCAGCCCTGAAGTTGTTAAGTGATCTCATGTACTAAAACAAGATAATTAAGTTCAAATTATAGAGCTCTATTTCTAAACATAAAATATTAACCTTGTAGTCTCAATTTTGTCTGCCATCAAAAAGATACATTTCAAACGTCAAGAACATTCTCTTGCTAGAATGTTGCTCTTTTGCTAGACAAGTTAAAAAACTGTGTTAAATTACCTTAGTAATAACGTGGGTTTCTGAGACTATGGATTAAGCACTAACCATTAAGATAGTTGAAATAGTTCCCTGCCCCACCCCACTCACTTGCATTCCTACTCCTATCAAATCAAGTTGCAATCCCTTGATCAACCACAAAAAGACCAACTAAAACAAGATTCCTGGGCCAGTTTTTTTTAACCGAATAATATAATATAAACACTCCAGGGAACTCATGGTCACAAAAAGACAAAAGAAAAAAGCTTCCACAGTTCCCATGAGACAGAGTTTCACTCTCTACTTCCATGGATTATCAGCCCTCAGATTTCGTTTAAAGTCAACACACACAATTTTAAATTACTCCAAAATGTAAATTTCTCATGTAGCTTACCGCTTCCTTGATAATTTCAAATCTTTTTTCATCAATCTCAAAAGTAGCCATTTTCTCAATGATCTTCTTGAGCAAGATATGTTGCTTGTCATTATAACCTTTTACAGAAAGCTATGGAAAAAGCGCATAATTTGCTTTAAATGTGGAAGATAAAAGAATAAAACAATTACCAAGTCTTGTATAATTCCATGAACAATACACTTTTCAACACATACTCTAAATTCAACATTATTCAACATTAACTCATTCTGAAATAAAATCCCTTTACCAATCAAAAGATAACTGACAAATGTAACACTGCATATTTGCCCAGGAGTTATGAATGCAGAGAATTAATGTAATTTCATGTTGAAGTAAGCAAATTGTATGCAGAACACAGATTTTTAATGATTACAGGTATTGAGTCCAGTCAATAAACTGTACATTGGAGTACTAAAATAGTTTTACTCTATGTTTTTCATTTTAGTAATGAAATCTTGATTCACAGCCTTCCTAAATATTCTCTCCAATTTGCTTTTAACCTTGTTTCATGCTTATCTTGTTGCTCAAAAAAATATTTTATGTAAGTGGTAGTAAGCAATACTACAAGAAAAGGGGTACTGACAACAGCAGCACAACTTATAACCAGGATGGTGCTGGGCTGAAACAACGAGGTAGTTAGTCCACAATAGTAATGAGATATTGGTCTGATCATACACATTCTTTTGAAAGTATTCATGAAATAAACTTGGTCATTTAAAAAAACAACATAGAAACTGAAAAATAATTGTATTATTACATGAAGCTGCAGAAAGTTTGTCTAGTGAAAACAAGCATTAGAAGGCCTTTTGGGGGAAAAAAAAACTTCAAAATGTAGTATTTAAAAACAGGAATTTAATTGGATTTGTGCAGTTTAATTATTAAGGATAAAACTAAATTTTAGGACACAAACATACAGGTGAATTCCTGCTTTACAGTAGGAACAATTTTTTCTTCTATAGTTGTTGAAACATACCTGAACCATGAATTTGAAGAAAAAGCTATCATAAATGGATTTATGACAAAGGCTGATATCATAAATTAGCACAAGAACCCAAACTGTTCAACAATTACTGTGGGTGATTGTTTTCAGTATAGCATCTGTCCTTGCTTAAAGTACCAACATTGTATAATTGTACCTATTGACTACAAAACTTCTCATGATATAGAAGAGTATTAGAAGTTCTCAGATATCAAAAACAGAGTAAACTGATTTTAATAGGTGGAAACATGATCTTTACAGTACAAGAATATAAAGAACCTATAAGATACAGTTCATATTAAAATTAACTCTAAAACTTCTAAACTGTGACTAGAAATTAAGAAAATTACACACACATCCCTGCCCTTTTTGTTTGGGTTTTGTTTGGGTTTTTTGGTTTGTTTTTTTTTTTTTTTAAAAAAAAAGAACTAACTCTGACCATGGAAGATCTCACCATTCAGCATCATCTGAATAGGTGGGAGAGTTGGGCACAGAGGAACCTGATGAAGTTCAATAAGGGCAAGTGTAGGGTCCTGCACATGGGGAGGAATAACCCTTGGCACCAGTACGGGCTGGGGCTTGACCTGCTGGAAAGTAACACTGCAGAGAAGGACCTGGGAGTACTGGTGCATGACCAGTTGACCATGAGCCAACAATGGAAGGCCAACAGTATCCTTGGGTGCATTAAAACAAGCGTGGCCAGCAGATCAAGGGAGGTTCTCCTCCCTCTCTACTCTGCCCTGGAATACTGTGTCCACTTCTGGGCTCCTCAGTTCAAGAGAGACAGGGAACTTCTAGAGAGAGTCCAGCGGAGAGCTATGAAGATGATTAAGGAGCTGGAACATCTTTCTTACAAGGAAAGACAGAGAGCTGGGTCTGAAAGGGGACCTTATTAATGTTTACAAATATCCAAAGGGGAAGTGTCAAGATGATGGGGCCAGACTCTTTTCAGTGGTGGCCAGCAAGAGGACAAGTGGCAACGGGCACAAGCTGGAACACAGGAGATTCTGCTTAAACATGAGGAAAAACTTCTTTACTGTGAGGGTGCCAGAGCACTGGAACAAGCTGCCCAGAGAGGTTGTAGAGTTTCCTTCTCTGGATATGTTCAAAACCCACCTGGACGCTTTCCTGTACAACCTGCTGTAGGGAACCTGCTTTGGCAGGGAGGTTGGACTAGATGATCTCCAGAGGTCCCTTCCAATCCCTACCATTCTGTGACTATGGAAACATCGGCAAGTTTTGAAACTGAAGATAACCATGTTTGCAGTAAGTTAAGTGAATGCTACCAGGAAATAAGGTTTGCGTTGGATAAAAAAAAGAAATTGCAGCAGTCTCTTTCATACAGAAAACATAAAGACAATATACAGTATGTTCTCTGACTAAGATGCTTTGGAAAAACAGTACTTCTAGAGGAAATTTCAAATCAGATTTTGGCATAAAATGATGATTGATAAAAGCTTTTAACAGAACTTCAAGAAAGACCATTAAAATCTCCTATCACAAATCTCATGGGAGAAGCTAAGTAAGAAATAATCATTTATCATACTGTAAGTATTTATAAAATCATTATTTTCAGCACTTTAAAACAGATTATAAAACACATAATAAAACCAAACACTAAGGAAAGCCGTAAATATCCAGCACTGCATTCTCATGAACACATGCACAATCCATTTCCACAGCTCACTACAGCAGTATTAGAGAACTGTAACAAATCTGTAAAGTTGAGATTCGTTCAACAAAAAAGTTAATCTCTTTATACAGAAACCAGGAGCAGCACTTTCAACATTACCATGCAAGCAAGTAAATACGTGAACTAGAACGCAACAATTGCACTGCACGCACGTTCACAAGACACTGCAATCTTAAACAGGTCACTCAGGACAGATTAAAATACACCGTTTTGCTTTGCTTTTAATTCATGAGATATATGCAAGGAAAAAAACCATTAACCATCTCATTTAGAAATGCAGAAGTCAAATGTTTTCTCCAAGCTCAACAACTCCCAAGCTGTTTCATTTCCTCCTGCGTTTTTTTCTTACTTACAAGTATTGCATTCATTCCTGATGCAATGCCATAGATCAAACCTGAGAGGCGTGCTGCATATGTATACTCTTTTAAATCATCCTTCAATAACCTGATAAACAGGTATGTCATGTTGCAATGGAGAGGATCAGCATAAATGTAGCGACTAACAAAAAGAAAAACAAAATAAATGCTTTGATACCTCAAGCAGTGACAAAGTAATGGATGAAGAAACATGACTGAAGAGTATGTATATGCAGCCTCATGATCAGTAGTTCTTGAACAGGAAAGATGAAGGTACCACTTATTTAATAGCATGAAAAGTGGGGTCTCCTACCCCATCAGTCAAAAAGTTTTTAGTAGGTATCTGACAAACTGAAATAAGTAAGTAAGCTTGGATTAGGATTGCTTTTTTCTTTTTTAAAATGGAGGAAAAAAAATCCTACAACTAATCAATTTTATGAATGATATAAAAATGAAGAAAATTTGCTTAATATGAATGGAAAGATTGTTGAAGGCTTTGAACAAAATTCAACTTAAAATTCAAATTAAAGAAAGGATGGTTAATAACCAAGATAAAAAGGAGTAACAGCATTAGACCCATTTTTAAAATAAAAGTCCTTCCATCAAATCAATATAAAAATGTTGATGAGTGGAAGTAGTTTTAAGGCTCTAAGCTTTTCCTTGATTTGGGTACTTACATACATCCCATAGATGGTATTTTGGAGATCATAGTTCAAGCCAGCTAGTTCTGCTGCATATGCATACTCGTTGAGGGAGTCTTTGAGTAGTTCAAGGTACAAATAGGCCATGTTACAATGCAAGGGATCCACGTAAGCAAATGGGCTGGAAGAAAATGTTGAAAGTAAAATATGCTGTTTAAAATTATTTCTCAGTTTCTTTTGGCCTTCTAAGTTTGATCTGGAGGAAACAATATTTACTGCAAGTATGCTGATGGATTCCATTATGAAGTATTCCTATTTCGAAGCCAGATATGAACATACCTGAAAATATTTAGCTTGCTTCTGGTTTGAGCAATGCCTAAGTATATTGAGCATTCCAGAGATATTACCTTATTTGTGCTTGTAAATCAAGATGTGTTATATTTATTTTGCTGCACGGTCAGAATTCACCAGAAGTAAAAATAAACTAAATACATCCTGAACAAACAACATAATATAGAAAGACTGAAATGAAAGCCCATGTACTGAACATTAATTTAATTAATACTTCTACACTATCAGAAAACAAATTAGTTTCTATTAAAAAAATTAAGAGATTAGCCGTTTGTGGTATGAAAAACATGCAGTACATGCTAAATCCAGCTCAGGAAAGAAGTTTGGCATATCCATTTTCATACCACCGTAACTTTCTGTGTTATCTTCTTAACAGCAACAACTACACAAGCTCTACTTTTGCACTAGAAGCATCTGATTCCATACAAGACAGTCACAAACTTCTCAAAAAGAGAAATGCAACTCAAAGACTCAAGCCATGTTTCAACCGTGCCAATTATTAAATATTTGTGTGTTTTAAAGATTTGCAAAGTCACGACAAGTTATCTGTACTATGATTGAATTTCTATTTCACTTCTGAAGTGCCCATAAATTCATTATCCATTTCACAGAAAAAAATCAGCAGTATCTAAAATCTGCTGTCAGGATATGGCTTACAATTCAAAACCACGTCATTTGCATTTATTTTCCCTAAGCAGTCACTGAAGGTCATATTCAGAGACACGCTATTATATATGTTTATGCCTGTAAAGCACAGTATTTCTTAGTGTATACCAACACTGACCTAGTAAAACAAAGATCAGATTGCTACAACACGCATCCTGATAACTTTAAAATACGTTGCAAAGGTATTTTTAAGAAAGTTCCTAGTAGTTTTTAGTAAGGACTTCTCCTTCCTTTTACATAAAGGAAAGGAAGCATGGTAAGAGATTTTTTAAAAAATACAAAAATTAAATTATTAGAGAAGCAGAGCCTGCTATAGCCTGAAATTTTAGCCTAGGATGCTTTTTTACTACCACTGGGTTAATTATGCTAGGCCTGGGCTTATGTAACTTTAGCAAACAGGTCAGTTAAAAAAAAAAAAAGAAAAAGGAAAAAAAAAAGAAAGAAAAAAAGGACTCTGCTATTTGCATTTCAATAAGCCAAATGATGCAAATCCAATTAATATTGAATTTTTTAATTAAGACTGAATTCAAAGCAAGATGTAGGTCAATCCTCTGTTATCTTAAATCTTCCTCCAAACTCATTATATTCTATTCCATTTTGATACTAGAATAGAGACTTAATTAGTTTGAGTGATTACTATGTCCGTATCAGTTGTAACTTCTGTATACTCATTTAGCCGGCAAAGGCCGACAGGGAGTTTTGAAAATAAAGAAGACTACTAAATAATTAATCCTCAAGGGAAAAATAACAAAAACTAATTATTATAATACTGTTCTGGGAGTTGCCTTCTGTTACTAACATCTTTGTAAATAAATGCTTATTTTTTGATTACTTTTTTTTGACTAGGCTCGAGGAAGTGTAACAACTGAATCACTGATGGTGTACTTGAAAAATCTTAGTCTAGTCTTTTCTCCTTTCAAACAGAGCTGTAAGTGATATAGCTGGAATCAACACTGAAGTGTGGATACTGGGTTACCTTATGAGCAACTCAAGTTGCTTGAAATATTTCTTAAACTGGAAGGTAGCAAGTATATAGTAAAAAATAATTTGCATTGTGTTTTTAACATCCATCTCTCTAAACCTTGGGAAACTTGAAGTGCAGAGTTTATAACTACCTTTAGGAAGTTTTCAAAACACAATAATTCATACAAAAGCTAAAGCTTATCATCATTCTTTAAGCTGGATGATAAGTGCAGTGTCAGGAGTTTTTACTGTGGTGTTTCTTTAATGCAAGTCTTGCACCATGGAAGGATTTTCAGTTTTGGAACAAAGTGACTTCAAGAGGTTCACATACTCAGATTGTTCCTACTAGATTTGTATGGCTGAGGGAGAAACCACCTTCAACAACCTCCTCTTAACTCATCTACACAGCAGTTGCTGCTACAACATCTGGGTCAGGAATTATTCTAATGTTTCACGGTGATAAGGGCTGCAAGGTCTTACTGAAGCAGTCTGTAGTATGAACAAATTCTTGTAATCTGCTACAAGGCAGCATAACCATCTTATTCTGATCTACAACTGAGGCTAAAACTTTTTATGAAAACCCATGTTATTAAGATGGCTTTATTCACCAAGTCACTTGGCCACAAGCTATGGGTAATTTCACCATGTCTCATGAATAAACACTATACATTTCACCATTTCCTTGAATGACCATCTGCGTGACCAAGAGCATCTCTCAAGTGAGATACTGACTAAGAATCCTTCTTAAGTATCAAAACCAGACAAACCTGCTTACAACTTCTTTTGGAAATGATGTACCAAATATTGTCAAAATCTCCTCACATTTGGTCATATACAATTACCATCTTACTTTTAAAGGAAAGAACCCTCACTCGCAACCCTAAGAACAAAGCCAGCTTTCCATCTGTAACCATTCCTAGGAGGAAAGAGGCAAATCATTCCATTACATTAGTCAGCAAATCTCAAGTACTCCTAGCTTTTCAAAAGGGCTCACTGAGATGAAAGTACAAACCTAACTGGGAAAGACTACCACCATATATCTAGTTGAAGATGTTCCTGCTCATTGCAGGAGGATTGGACTAGATGACTTTCAAAGGTCCCTTCCAGCCCAAACCATTCTATGATTCTGTGCATAAGTGTGCATATTATACCTTTATGTGCACTACACACAATTAATTATTATGTTTTAATCATTCACAAACTGATACAGAGACTGGATCCCTCATAGTTCATCTAGACTTGATTTTTTTAAAAAAGCACAACTGTGTAACATAAACTCAGCCTCCATCAATAAAATCCGGTTTTGGCCAAACATAGTACAATGGAAAGCCAGCAGGTAAGAACAAAGCATACAAAGTATTGCAATTGTTTTTCTCTTAATAAGAGATGGGCAGTTACCAATTTGATCTTCCACTTCCTGACACATCAAAGTTGAAACATTTGTAATGTTTGCCCTGTGGTTTCAAAAAGGAGGAGGAAATGCCCAGGTAATGTATTTTCCCCAATGAGTATTAACACCATTATCAAGATTTGACATACACTGAAAAAATCCTCTATCTAAAATTCTGCCATGAAAAATTTCAAGTGGTCAGTCAAAACAAGGACTCAACAGAGCATCTATCACAACCCATATAATAGCCTTTCCAGAAATACCACTGAATCATTAATTGGGTCAAAGGAGGAGAGTTCCTGAAATTCTTTTCACTTTCAACCGTCCAGCACAGAAAGAGCTGCACTCTGAAGACAGCAGTATTTTTTTTTTTTATTCAAAACTTAGAAATTATTACTTGAAAGGAACACTAAAAAGGTACATCACTGTCATGCTCACTGGAAAAAAAAAAAATCCTGTGATGAAAATAATGCAAGATCAGAATTAGGATTACAGCACTTTATCATGCATCTTAAGGTGAGAATCACACATTCATTGAAAATACAGGCATCCTTCTAAAAAAAAATAAATCAGTTGTTGGTGTCAGTTAAAAAAAATATCCCACAATTTTAAACACTTAGAATTTTATACTGGTGTGCATTATGCAAATGAAAACAGATTTTGAACGTAAAACCACGACCAGGGTAGCATTTTATAAATAAAAACACTATCTTAAAATAGTTGCAATTTAATTATTAATTAAAAATAATACACATCCATTTTTAAAGAGGTATATTGCAATATGTAGTAGGTGCTACTGGCAAGCATATTTCAGGTATAGCAAATGAAACACAGAAGAAAAATTGTTTTAAAAGTATTTTTAGATAAACTTTTCCTGTTAATATAGACAGAGCACCTCAAACTGCTTGCTACTCAACTACTGCACAACTTACACGACCCTTTTTGTTTTCTGTATCTTACTGCATATTCCCAAGTAAAGACAAACGTTTTGAAGCCTACGTGCAAGAAATTTTTTGCCACAGAAATGCAGATTCCCAACAAACAAGAAACTTGCAGAGAGCGATTTGTGCAATATATTTACCATGGCATACCTGAAAAACTCGAAGTTGAGACAAGCTTTTGGTAAAAAAAATTTGTCATCTTGCTTGAACCACAGTTTGCTCATAGCAGTGTCCTATGCCAAGAAAAGAGGTTTTGTTACGTCATCTATCTTTTAAATGTAATATATTACACTATTTTTTTAAAAAGTCTCTTCATTACTTCAAATCACAGTTTAGTGTTGTCCCCTTAAATTCATATTTTGCTACATACATTTGTGTATACATCCATCTGTCCTTATTGAAACTCTCTTCTTACCATATGTCACCTTAACAAGCAGTTAAATGGCTGTAGCACTGTGAATGAGCTTATGATCAAAATGGGAACTACTTTTCTAGAGATGATCAAAGACAAACATAAACTGAGCTTCACATAATTCTCTGCTAATGCTGGTACTAAAAGATGTGCCATTATGTAACTATATGCTGCACTACAGCAGCATATAGTTACATGTTTTAGACTAAGAATATAATTGAGTATTTAATGCTTTTAGTAAAAAATATTAATAAATATGAATTGTAGTTTTGTAGTAATGCTGGTACTAAAAGATGTGCCATTATGGGGACAGCACTACAGCAGCATATAGTTACATGTTTTAGACTAAGAATATAATTGAGTATTTAATGTTTTTAGTAAAAAATACTAATGCATTGTATGTCGTTTTAAAGTAACATTGATAACAAAAAACACATATGCATTTAGAAAAAGTAGTAAAATTAGTTGGAAATTAGTTAAAAGATCTACCACCTAATTTTTTTGGAATAATCTCCCGGTACAGGAAAGAATCTAAACCTCCCCTATTGCTTTTTCTCACACAAAAGCTGTGAAATAGATACACTCTCTCTCTCTTTTGGGCCCCTCCCTACAAGAAGGACATGGAGGTGCTAGAGAGTGTCCAGAGAAGGGTAATGAAGGTGGTGAAGGGTCTGGAGCACATCTCTTATAAGGAGCAGCTTAGAGAACTGGGGTTGTTTAGCCCAGAGAAGAGGAGGCTTAGGGGAGACCTTATTGCTCTCTACAGCTACCTGAAAGGAGAATGTACAGAGGTGAAGGTCAGTCTGTTGAATCAAGGAACAAGTAACAGTACAGGAGGAAACGTCCTCAAGTAGTGCCAAGGGAAGTTTAGATTCAAGATATTGGGTATTAGATATTAGGAAGAATTTATTTACTGAAAGGGTTCTCAGGCATTGGAAAGCATTTCCCAGGGCAGTGGTGGAGTCCCCATCCCTGGAGGTTATTTAAAAGTCGTGTAGACGTAGTGCTTAGGGACCATGATTTAGACAGGGACTTGTCAGCATTAGGTTAATAATCGGACTCGATGATCTTAAAGGCCTATTCCAATTGAGGCAATTCTCTGATTCTGTGGCCTGATTCAGTAGCTGGAGATAGCTAGCTGCAGTCCATAGTAAAAATTTGTCCCTCAGGACCTCTTTCCTGAGGGTTTTTCAGGGCAAGATGTGCCATTACAACAGAGGTGACCTAATTACATGCTGCCAATGAAAATGGCCATTCTGTTCCTCCACTTACGTTCCCATCCCTCCCCTTCTCCATCACACTGGTCTAGTCCATAGTAAGCTCTCTTAGGCATTTAAAACAGCAGAAAAATTTAGGGTTTTTTGTACAGATAACCTCTGCTGATTTAGCTCTTGCACTGTTTTGCTGTAGGACCAGAAAAATGCCAGGGTCCACAAAAAGAAAATGGAACAGACATACATCTGGGGAGAAAATAAAAGAGATGCGGGTAAAATAGATAATGTCTATTTCATCAAGTACAGAAGATTTTCCCCTCAGAAAACATATTTTAAAGGGAAAAGAAAAACTAAAAGCAAATACATTTCTAAAGTAGTGATACCTTAAAGCAAAGCTTTTGTGTGGATCAATTGCCTAGTTGCTACAGAGACACTGAATAGACCTGTAATATTTGTCCCCGTTGAGGTTTAGGGTTTCAGTTCAGGATGAACATAAACATATGCTCAAAGTCCTCCTCTGTTAATAAAAGTGCTTCAAGTTTATACCTAAAGTGCCCGGTGCAGAACAAGTATGTTTTCCTGAAGGAGTATTGAAGCTGAAGCACAACACATAATTGCAGAAGACTTTTCCTACTTATCCTCCAACTAAGTCTACAACAGAGATGAGCATTAGCAAAGACAACTACACTTTAGTAGTGAGGAGTAAGTTTTCGTAAATTTTAGATACTCAGAAAACCTGAGATTTGCTAAACATATCAAGATCATTAAATGATGCTTCCAGGAGACTGGACAGTGATATTTACTTACGTGTTTACATTTCTCTTTTTCCATGCAATCACAAACTTCTTCCACACACAGTTACAAAAGAACAGCCTTTTCTACATCCTTGACTTACTGAACACTGCTCAAAAAAATGTAAATGACACTCTCCTTCTGCTGAATAAACAGCTTTAATACTATTTCTATCAATTGTTAACATGCTTTCAAAAGGGTAAAGAGTTCAAGCTGTTTGTAGATTAATTTTCATAGGAATCCAAATGGACATAATCCAAAGTTTAGCAAGAATGAACTTTCTATTGTCTTTCTAGCAAGGCCTTTAAGTTTTGTAATTGTTTTGTTTATTTTACTTTGGAACATGACATAATCTGTATTGTAAAAACATATAGGAATTAACTTCTAACTTCCCAGAGGGTTAGCTAGCAAACAGAACAAATACAGACAGCTTACTTTGACAAGGGCAGGGTACTGTGTTGCATCTTTTTCCAGTGGCAAAATCTCAAAGTTAGTAGGAATGAACTCATTCTTCATTGGAAGCTTGAATTTCCCATTCAGGTCAGCATTTTGCCATTTCTAGATAAAAAGGAGAAACAATGAGACTAAATAGAATTTCTGCTTAATTAATGGATATATATGCTTATTTACTTTATGCTGTAACAAAAAATTTAAAAGTGTGTTCATGTTTTGTGTTCTAGTTTATGTGTAAACACTATTAAGATAATTTTTGATAAATATCTGGGAAACCAAGTTGGAGTAGGCTGTCATCAGGATGAAGTGCTCCGTGGAGGAAAACAAAAGATAAAAACATAATTTTGAAAAGTTTACAGTAGAGTGGAAGGTGGTTCTATGTCTCATCTTTTCTGACACTGTGCGCTCTAAATGAAGGTATTAAACTAAACACATAAGCAAGAATTCTAATCAAGAACATAGGTACGGACAAGTTAGAGGAAGTGAAAGATTCCTATGCAGAGCCCGTTCAAGGATGCTCGGCAGGTCCAGTTTAGCTCTAGGTTGTATTTTACCACCATCTCTTCTTAAAAGAAGAGACTAATAATAAGTTTCAATTAGGATTTGCTTGCCTCCTTTGTTGGAATTTTGGTTTTTAGAAGCTCATTTAATTGGCAAAATTACTCATTTTCTAAGTTGTAAAAATCAGTTTCAGGAACAGTTATACACAGCACTTTTAAAAAGACTCCTTTCTTAAGAACAAATTAGTTCATTAGCATTTAATAGAGACTTTTAAGTTTTAAAGACTTAATGCTTACATTTTAAAGTAGTTCCTGCATATTACAGATCTTTTGTAGCAAAAATGGTATAACTTTTCCTGTATTTAACATGGTTTAAAACCATTTACATATATCTGTCCTATGTAATAAAAATTTGAGCTCTATAGACAAATATAAGATCCTTAATTCTCATAATATTAAACAGACTCGTTGTACAATTTCCATGCTATGTAGAGCAGCAGATTTAAGTTCTCCCTTCAACTAAATGAAAAATTAGATGAAGAATTTATCGCTGTCTTTAGCTTGCAGATATGAGAATATAATAAAAGTTTTAACATGCCTTAATAACTTCATCAGAAATTGCTTCCTGCTTATACTGTGTTCCATACCACTCTTCTGTTCGATCAGTTTTTCCCTCAAAAGACTTGGAAACTATCGCAACTCTGAAAACGAAGAGACAAAACACTTTGGCATAAATGTGTCTGAAAAAAGACTGTGAGAAATTATGCAAAGCACTATTTCTGTTCCATCACTAGAATGCATTTATTTCTGTACATGGTCACTGGACAATTATAGAGTACACCTGGATAGCAAATATACATATACATAACACACTAATGTTAACCATGAAATCAGGTTATTAGTGTCATTTAATTTTTACTGTTTTTCTAAAGTGTTACAACTTAGAGTTACACACAATTACTGTTGCATGCAATTTCTATTTTTTAGACTTTGTCCTTGTTCCAGAAAACACAGAAATCAGTCCTTGAGATCTTCTACAAAATTAATTTACTGTAACATTTTTCATACCACCTGTATCAAAACTCAGGTAAGTGAAAATACTGACTATAGAAGATTTATTCCAGACCTAGCATTTTAGACTACATTATTGCAGTGTCACTCTCCCACTCATAATCTGATAGTAAGAGAGTTTCTTTATTTTGTATCATTCTCATATTCTTATTTCAGATTGATACCTGTTTCTCCCCCCTTTTCGTTTGTTACAGTTTGGTATTTTTGAGAGGAAGGGAAGAAAAGTACGAAGATTTATGTATTTCATAGTCAACACAACAGAAATATACCCAATTAGAAATCTAAATCATAGAATATGTCAAGCTGGAATAGCCCCATAAGGATCAAGTCCAACTCCCTGCTTCTCACAGGACTACCTAAAACTAAGCCATATGACTAAGAGCACCCTCCAGATGCTCCTTGAACTAAAGAATACATCTAAATAAGAGGAAATCTAGAATAAATAAAACTACAAATTTATCAGTATTTTTTCCAATAATATTCATAACAGGTAACAAGAAAACTCCTCTAATTCTTTTTAGCAACCTACAACACAAAAGAGTATTCAATGGAAATAAGCAGCTAGCTTTAAGAGTAAATAGAAGATCGTATGAGTTCTGAAATGGTCAAAAAAGGCAGCACAATTACCTCCAATATATATTTAACAATCCCTAGATGCTGAATAGCATAGTAACAAACTTTGTCAAGTCTTGTGCAGATGGCTAAAATGCACATTAAAACATCAAAATATATGCAATGTAAGTGGGTTTTTTTAATCACAATTATCTTCAGGCCAGGAACATTCTGTTGTGTACTTCTAGTGTGCATGGCAAAGTGGGGTATAAATCAAAACAGGCATATGGATGTGCCTCAAACTACAGTATTTTATACTTCACAAAGATGCTACTGGAGAGTACCCTCAGGATGAAATTTGTAATACATTGAAAAGTTTAAATATGTGGACTATTAATATTGTAAATGGCTATGTCCTCATCCCTCCTTTTTCATCCTATGTTTACACATAAATGACTAAATGATCCAAGAAGGGTGAAGAAAACGAGATTCTGTTGTAGTTAGCTCTAAATTTTCAAATTATTAATAATTTAACCTGTGCTTTGCAGTTTGAGTAGCAGGAGAGCAGTAGGGTAAATAGGCAGAGATTTAAATAAATGAAAAGTACATCTCAAAAGTCACATGGGATTGTAAAGACACATTCTCCAGCAACAGATTCAAAAATTTAAGCAGAACTTGAACCACAGACTGTCTAATTTTGAGACAATACTTTAAATCATATACACTGAAGAGGGTCAAGCAAATCTCATGTGTCAGGGATGCAGATTTTCTCTCGGTTGAGAAAGGGAGAAATTTTTACAGCTTATCTTTGAAAGAGCCACATGATTGGCATGAACACACACACATATGCACAGAACCACCCCTGCTCCTCTGCAGAAGTTATGCAATATCCAAACCAGAATGGGAATATTAATCTTTAAGGGACACATATTTCATCTCCCATTGTAAATAGCAATAGAAATGGTTAACATTTTGTGGTGGTTTCACTTGGCTAGTACTTACGACTTCATATAAAATGGTTTCATATCTGTTTGCATGTTACAGCTATTTCATTTTTTATACAGAAGGAACAATACTAAAGAAACGTTCAGCAAAGAACCAAGCACTTTAATCCTAGAGAGTACCTGTTCTTGCAACACAGCAGACACTAGCTCAGTCAACAAGGTGAAATCTATTAGAGATTGTGGTTTACATTAAAATGAGCCATAGGAATAATCTATTATGTTTTGTGTTTTAACTTGGACATCTGGTAAGCAAAAGCTCTACCATGTACTAAGTTGCTAGGAGACTATAAACACCATGAAATCTATTTGCATTTCAGAGCAACCTACCAGGCCCTTCTTCTCATTAACAAAAAATAAAAATTAAAAAAAAAAAAGAAGAGTCTTAAGCTAAAAAATTAACCTGACAAAATTTCAGTAATCATGTGGTCTGAACAGCAAGACAAAGGTGTTTTATGGGATAATACAGATGTCTGTTATTCAACATTCCCTCCTTCTAGCCTTTTTCAACATACTGATGCTCAAGCAGTAGTGACAGTCCAAGTACCCAAACATTTACTGTAGGAACATACTAAAATTAGAGAGATAAAAATAATTTTGTCTGCTCAACACAGAGAAAATGAAATTGTGGAAATCAGCATTGCAATTCCTCACACAGTCCTGCTTCAAGGAGCCCTCCTGCCCTCCCTACAACCCAAATTACCCACATTTTGAGCTCTTAAAGAGACACACCCACAACTACATGAAACAAACCAAAAGGTGATTCACCTGCCTGCAACTTACAACCTAAACCAAGACACAAGTGCCAGCAGCAACGAAGACCAGCACAGGAAAAGGAGAAAAGAAGCATCACAGGTAGAAATGCAATGCTATGCAGTTATTTAAATGTATCATAATGCATCTTTAAAGTCACCAATTATGTAATGTTACTTTTGCTTTTCTTTTCTGTGTTGTGCTGTATAGCACTATGAACATTCACATAATTTAAGACAGCACTGAAATATACTGGAAAAGCAAGACAGAATCAGGCAATCTTTAATAGGACCTGCTTATAACCTATTTAAACTCAACTAGTGCAGTTAGGCTTCCAAGCCATTCATGAACATGGAACAAAGCTGAAACTATAAATGCAATTTACTGTACATGTACATTCTTGTACATGCAAACTGTTGTAGTCCTCACTTATGGTCAATTTTCAAAACCAAGTACCATTTCTATAGTGTGATACATATTGACTAGATACCACCTTAATTTTCGCCCTCCTGAAATCTATAATAAACCCACAAGTGACAGATTCATGGAAGAGTGTTACTTGGGGTGCTTTAAAATGAAATGTAGTTCCAGGAAAGATTATCAACTACTGCACTGCAGATTTACATAACTAACTTGTGCTTCCAAGGGTGAAAAAGTAATAGACTTTGAGACCATAGTATTTGTGATATTAGTAATAAACAGGTCAAACCAAATTTGTTGCAAAAAAAAAGAATTTATACTTAAAAAGGAACAACTCCTTTTTTTAGGAACTAATTTAAACTTTGTCTTCCAAATGACGGTATTGTCAAACAACAGAAAAAATTACATATATTTTATTTAAATGCACAAAATAACACAAATGAGACAAAAACAGCAAAAGCTAGATTTGTTTATAGCTTCCCCAAAATCATTAGTAAAACTGATGCAAGGCAATATAGGCTATTCAAAGCCACTTCCACACAAATCTCATTAGAAAACAGAATAAGAGGAGAAACTACACACAGAGATGTTGCTGGGGTGCTGCATTCTAATCGCTCTGCAGAAGCACGAGTTATTTACTAGGGCTCAATAAAACTAAGTCTCTACAAACACAATGGTTTGTGGGGGGGGGGAACATAAGTAACAAATTGTGATTTTCAAAATCTTTACTCAGATACAATGCAATTAAAAAATAAACACATACATTCCATATTAGTAACATGTGCATCATCGACTGCACCAAAATAACTGTTTGCTCAGTATCTGTGAAATTCCAGCCCTTAAAAATTTCTGTATCAACGTTTTTGGCATTCATTTTAATTTTCTTCCCTCTAGGATAGTACTAGTGCTGCAATTCAGATTATCAAGAAAGGAAAAAGGTCCATTTACTATCTAGGGGAAAATGTTCTTTAGTTGCTTAATCTGATGAGTCACTAGCTTCTTAAATTTTAATAAGAACATTAAATGTGCAGATGATGAGAGGAAAAAAATGTAGTGGAAATCATAGGAAAATTACACTTTTCAGCTAAGATTGCAACACATGCCAAGTCTATTCCCTTATCTTCACAGATGGCTGGCAAAACCCAATGCAGTTTGAACAAGTAAAAATGATACTTGCATCTTAAAAAGGTCTCTCTCTTAGGGAAATTAAGCCACTAAACGCAACAAGTAGTGTGTGGGGGTGGGAGGGGGGAGGAGAATATAAAAACTTCCTGTTATGGTTCAGTCAATAGAAGCACATATGGATACTTGCTACCATCTGTGAGTATGGATATTTTTCCATAATTTTTAAAATAAGAGTTAAAAAGCCAAACTTTTTAAAAAGACATTGAACAGTAGTCTCTAACTGTGAATGCAGCTACCCCAATATAGATATGCCAAGAAAAGTCCTTAGTGTAGGTGAATTCCAATAGGGTTATGAAAACAAACTTATAAATAAAACCACGATACAAAGGAAAAATTCAAATTAATGAAAATTAAGCCATTGCAAGACAATTAATGCAAGACATAAAAAGAAAAAAAAAAAACAAAATAGGAAAAAAAAAAAAAACAGGCAATGTTAGGATTATGTAGCACATACTAATTCTTTCATAAAAAGTGAGAAAAGAAACGTAAATACAAGCATAAATATCAGTGAACAGCAGATAACCAGAACACATACAGATATTTAAAAGCACATGTCCACAGTTTTTTATTAGTTTATACAATTTGCTCAAGCAAAGACAAAAGGAAATGAGCTACTGGACTGATAGTTTACTGTATGCGTATGTTACAAAGATTCAAGAAAGCTACTGTGGATTTGCCTTTTTAGTGGGCTCTCTTGAAAGGATGAGTTGAGATTATAG